TGCGAAGAACATTTGGTGGGAATGACGGCCCGGTAACGGCGAAGGCAAGTGGTGCAGGGTGAGCCAGAGCACGCATATCAGGTGCTCGCAGCTGTGATGGCACTGTAACTGACATGCACATAGACCTGAGGTCGAAGCTCGTCTTATCGAAAGAGTTGTCCCATTAGCTCTGATCGTTTAGCGGGGACTTGTCATCGTGCACAACATAGGTGTCGAAGCGCTGGTCGCTGGTCGCATTCTTGACTCCAAGCACATTCAAGCCGATACGAGAGAAAGCGACCTGCAGACTCGGGTGGGTGATGAGGAGAAGCTCTACGGATGATCCAGCACGCCGGTTACGGTTCGTCAGCTCGAGAATGCAGCTGACGTCGTTTTTCGCGAAGGACGGCTTGAACTCGGCGAGAGCAGCGTGGAACAATCACACGTCCTCGATGAATATATATGAAGCATCTCTCCTATCTGAGATGATTTTAAAGACTGGCAGGAAGCCGAGGTGTGACGTACCATCAGGAACAAGTAGATGACACTGCCCTGAACATCGTTAGGATCTAGCAGCTCGCAGACCCCCTGTTCAGCAACGGAGATATAGGGGGCGAGATAGCTGAGCGCTACTGGTGGCTAGTCGCAGCGAATTGAGGGTGAAGACGGAGAATGGTGCGACGCGGAAGATACTTATTCGCGTGCGTCGAAGCCCAGCGGTAGCCCTAAACTATTAGTCATAGTGCATAAGGTCGAGAAGTGTCGGAATAAGTGAGTAGAGCTAGCTTGAAATTCTTACATGCGAATATACGTCTGGGGCATGTGCTGAAAGTTCCCGTGCCCGTGGTGGTAGCAGCTGCCAAGAACGAATGCCATTACGTAATCAGTATCATGTGACCTTTCCCATCCTAAAGTGAGGGATGGCCTGAGAAGGCGTTACAACCACGCAACAATGAAAACATACCCTCTGAGTTATCTTATATCTTATTGTACTATCCGAACAAGTTACTCAAAGCCAAGTTATGTCGACCCAGAGACCAGACGCTATTGGGTACTACCACCGGGTAAGCTGAGGTGGGGTAACTGGTTGTCGTGAGCAAACTGCCGAGGCATTCCCCATGTGTGGTGCGTTCTCAATCCACGGAGCACGAGAAGCTCGTACTTAGCGCTATCATAGAAAACAGGTACCGCATCGCGCGACCGTGCCTCTGTATAAGCTATGATGCCCCCCACATCTGCACAGCACGCTGCTCTGTCATGTCGTCCCACAATTCAAACGTCACGTCTGCTGACATTTGTGGTAAAGCGCCGATGTTATTCCTAGTACGCGTACTTTAAGGTTTCGGTCCACCTCTCCACGCGTGTGTATTTACGGTTTTCGTGTAGGGACTACAATTTCTCATGACTATATGGTCCGAGGCACTCGAATATCAGTCACGAGCCGGCCTGTAATGGCTTTCTGATCCAGCTGACTCTGACTTCATGCTCTTTGGCATTCTTGCTCGTATTTAAATCAGTCGCACTGTATATGTATTATGTTGATGGATGGCGAACCGGCATCACTGGTAAATCCGCATAAATTTGGCAAGCTTGGGAGCCGATTGGGTTAGGACCTGCGCGGGCTGGGCGATTTGATCCGCACACGGATAAGCCCGAATTCCTGAATGGCCATCACATCTCCCAACACCCTGCGGTAAATACAGCGCCTCCAGGACCAGGACAGCAAGATCAATGCCACGAACATGAGCGCTTGGGCGGCGAGAGGGGGAACAAACGCACGGCGGCTGCGGGGCGCGTGTGGTCACGGAGGGGTGAGTACGGGGTGCAGAGGGTAGCGGCTGGACGAGGGATTGACTGCGTGAGTCCCAGCGAAGTGAGAGTGCTACTACGGCTGTTTGCGCATACCACGTGTGCACAGGCTTGTCGACCTCATGCAAGTCGCGCGCCCACAGTGGCATCCGCTCAAGTC